GTTTGTTGTAAAAATAAAAAAATATTTAAAAAAAAAAGTGTTATTTTGGGTTAGCAGCAGACAATGAAAAGGAACCTTTGCAGAGGGGAACTATCAACAAATTCTTTATTTTTCTTTCCCTGGATTAGAAAAGGTTTTGATTTGGAGGGGTCAGGAACAGGATATTTAAGTGTGACTGGGGAGAGGCCTATGAACAGACAGCAAGGACTGAAGGAGCTGATTGGTCAGCTGAAGGGCAGGAAGGTCAATCATTGCTTTCTTGATTTGGTTAACAAGCATCTCAACGTTAATTTATTGATCACTGGAATGTAGAGAAAGTGAGAGAAACTAAACAAGATTACCCCCAAGCTGCCTTTCCTCCCTTGTGGATCCCAGCAAGCTCCTTGGTTCTGTGGGAGATGAAGAAAGTGAAAAGATGCCTACAGCAAGGAAAAAAACAAATGAGACCAATCATGGTTGCATGCCCATCTCTGGGATAAGAGCTACAAAAGATGTTCATTCCTTCATGGTTATTTCATCTGCAGAATTATGTCTAGCACCTCTGTTCAAAATTGCCTGTTCCCTTTTGGGAAGAACTGGATGAAGCTCCTCCTACAGCCTCTGTGTCATATCTGGCAGTTCGTTCGTTCGTTTGTTTGGAGATAAAATTGCTAATTTTTGCTGCAAGATGGATTTTACTTGGACAGAATCTGGTAAGATGACTTGGGCAACAGCTTGTCAGATTATCTGAGATTCCTTTGAGTCTGTTGGAGACTGAGGATGTGGATACAGCCTTTGGTGACATGAGCTCTGCCCCCTATAAGCTTGATCCATCTCCCAGCTGGTTTAACTATATGGCTGAATGAAGCCTATGTGGCTGGATTAATGCCTCTTTAACGGAGGGGCTGGGGCACCCCCTCCTGAACAGATCATGTCTTTATCAAGCCATTTTTGGCCAAACTCCAACCTTCCCTTTTTAGGGAAGCTGTAGTCTGGATTCAGCCTGGAAAGAGGATGGAGACTCCATTGATCACCCTAGTAAATGATCTGTGTTAGGACTTGGATGGAGGAAGTACTCTCTTCCTAGTTCTATTAGACCTCACAGTGAAGTTCAGTATCATCAACCATGGTATCCTTCTGGACTGTCTGTGACACCTGGGGTTTGGAGTCACTGTTTTAGAGTAGATCCTTCTTGAATGGGCACTTCCAGAATGGGAGAGGGAAGAGCAGCTGTGCCTGTGGTTGCTCCACTGTGGAGTTCCACAGGGTTGGTCCTCTTCCTCAAGTTGTTTAATACCTACATTAAATCATTGGGGAGGTCATCAACTAGTTATCAGTGAGAAAATTGATAATCAGTAAGCTGATGATACCTAGCTGAGCATTGCCATGCCAGGTTGGACTAGGAAAGCTGTTGAATCTTATCCTGATGCTGAGGGCCTGGAGGGATCAAAACAAGCCACAATTAAATCCCTGAAAGATGGAGCTGCTGTTTGTTGGGCAATTGATTCTAGTTCCAACTTTAACTCTGAATGGAGTCACACTCCACTAATGAAGCAGGTCAGCAATTTGGGGATCCTCCTTGACTCACAGCTTCCTGTTAAAGTAGAAGATGATGGCTGTGGCTGTGGAACTTTTTGGTTCTTTATTGTAATGTGCTCTATCTTTGAATCTGACTGCATGCAGCAGCCTATCTGCTAGTTGAGGACAGGAAATTTAGAAATATTATATCCACACTATTGTTGCTGCAATGGCTGACGGTTTTCTTCAGGTCTTGGCATCCACATGCCTACAGGACCACCTTTCCAGCCCAGATTTGGCTTGCCCCAAACAGTGTCTAAGGGAGGATATGCTTAGGATGACTGAGGATAACTCAACAATACATCTTTTCAGTGGCTGGCTCCACACTTTGGGACACCTTGTCTTCTGAGATATGTTGAGTTCTCAGAAGTAGGTGGTCTGTAAATATTGCATATGTGTGTGTAATGTATATTGTGTGTGTGTAAAGCGCTCTCTCTCTCTCAACTAAAATATGTGTTACTGCAACAGTAGGCTTGAATAATGGAATAAACTGATGTCTCTGAAGAGTCAGTAATACAGAAAAAGCCAACTCCCCCCACAAGGAATAAGGAAAGGATAAACAGTAGAAAGAAAAAACGATGCAGAGGGATCAAATGTAGATCACTGGTTCTCTCTATAATTAGGAATATTTAGCAGGGAGTGGTATAAGAAATAACTCAATTGTCTGTAATATATCTTGGACTGTAGTTACATCTTCTAAAGGAAATAGTATTTCATCAGGAAAGAAAGAATTTCAGAATCAAAGCAAAATCAAGGTGGAATCAAATATTTATCTCAGGGAAAGCAATTTCTAAACAACTTGCACTTGATTACTTATATCGCATGCTGGCTAAGAGAAGAAATTTGACGACATCTCTCCCAGTTCTATCTGTGAGCTAGTCTGATACAGCAGGTTGGGAGTAGAAAATGAGGAAGGCTTGTGGCATCGGGTCTCAATTTTTCCTACATGCAGACCACCACCTGATTACTGAAAGCTTTTAAGGATGGCCACTGAAGCCAGGGGTTGAAAATGTGATACCTGCAGGTAATATTCATCATTACAGTACTGTACATGATTCATTATTGGTTCACTCATGTTTTGCCATATTTTGCCCTTGGTGTAAATGCTACGTAAGGACGTACTTTTACCTTAACTATATGACCTAACATATTAAGACATTGTTTCAATTTATAAAATATACTAAAACTCTAAATCTGTTTAACACAATATAATTTCTGTATTTATATAAAATGCTATGCTCAACTAAATATCATGAATTAAAGTGATGCTTGGTACATATAACATGCTAAGTTATAAAAAGACAGTTACTGCTGTCTGAATTTATTCTACTTTATTTTACTTTAGCATATTATACAAACCAAATATTATACAAACCCTAACCATAAGTAATTACAGGATACTCACAGAAAAAAGTGATATAAAAGAATACAGAAAAATAAAGAAAAGAAATCTCTCAACTAAAACTTAACTCACCTTTTCTTTTAATTGGTTGTCTGAAATCTGCTGAACAATATCTTGGGAACCAGAAGATGTTCTGTGACTCTCTGGGATGTTTATATCTCCCACCGAAAACACAGGAATGATGGGTCTGAGAAATCGGAACTCACTACTTAAGGATCCACCAGTCAAACAAACATCATAATGGTAAGTCCTGGAAAGTGACCCATTCTCTGAATCATCACAGTTTCCAAAGGTATTAGTATTGGGAGGTGGGAAGTGAGGTGGTACAACAGTAAAATTTCCTCTGGGATCCTTCTTGCAGATTTTGACAACAATAAACACAACAATACAGACCAGGAACACAAAGGAGACTGCAATCAAGCAGATCACCAAATATTTGGTCAAGGTTTTATCTTCTTCTGGTTCTTGCACACTAACATCCACTCTCCTCAGGAAGGGATCAGAAAAGCCATCCACAACAAGAATATTAAACACTGCAGTGCTGGTCTGAGGAGGAAAACCATTGTCTCTGACCAGTATAACAAGCTTCTGTTTGTTTGCGTCTCGCTCGTTCAGGGCTCTTCTGGTTTTCACTTTTCCATTCTGCACTTCTATGCTGAAAAGTCCAGGATCTGTGGCCTTCAGCAATTCATAGGAAAGCCAAGAGTTTTGACCAGAATCTCCATCCACTGCAACCACCTTGGTGACCAGATAGCCGGCCTCTGCCGACTTGGGAACCAGCTCATTACATAGGGATGTGCTGTTCTGGAGGGGATACAGGAAGAAGGGAGTGTTGTCATTTTCATCTATGATGATGATTCGGACAACCACCTCTGAGCTCAAGGAAGGAGAACCACCATCGGTTGCCCTCACGGTAACTCTGAACTCTCTTATCTGCTCATAGTCCAGGGATCGGAGGGCATACACGTTTCCGGTTTCAGAGTTGATTGAAATGTAAGAGGGCACCAGACCATCACCCTTCCCTGGCAATAGTAAGTAAGTCACTTTAGCATTCAGCTTTGTGTCCAGATCCACAGCATGGACTGAGCCAATGAGCAAGCCTGGAATATTATTCTCATGGATCTGCATGTCATATAAAGACTTTTCAAAAAGTGGAGGGTTGTCATTGACGTCGGAGATCTGAACATTAATCATTCTTGTTGAAGTGAGCCTAGGAGAGCCCCAGTCAATGGCTGTGATGGTGATGTTGTACTCAGCAAGGGTCTCTCTGTCTAGGGGACTTTGGAGGACAAGCTGATAAAGATCATTTGCGGTGGCTTTCAGCACAAAAGGGAGGTTCGTATCCACAGAGCAGACTGTTTTGCTGTTTTCTCCAGAGTCTTGATCTCTAACACTGAAGAGGGCCACCATTGTGTCTGGGGGAGAATCCTCTTTTAAGATCCTGGTCAGAGATATGATGGATACTTCTGGGGGGTTGTCATTCTCGTCTTCAATCTCTATCAGTATCTTGCAGTGACCTGAAAGACCCCCTCCATCTGTTGCTTTGATGTTTATGCCATAACTCCTTTCCCTTTCATAATCAATCTGTCCACAAACAGTGGTTTCTCCAGTCCTTTCATTTAAAAAGAACAAATTGCTTATTCTTTCAGGCACTCGATGGAATGAGTAGAGGATCTGTGCATGTGAACCAAAATCAGGATCTCTGGCCTCCACCTTAATCAGCAGAGTGCCCTTAGGAAGGTTTTCCTTTATTCTTACCTTATATTCAGATTGAGAAAATTGAGGAGAATTATCATTTATATCTAGAACATCAATGTTAATTTGAACAGTGCCTGTTTTTTGTGGCACTCCTCCATCGACGGCCATCAGTGTCAGCTGAAGGTAAGGCATCTTCTCCCTGTCTAGTGGTTTCTGCAAAATAAGGTCAACATTCTTCTTTTCATGTTCATCAATCTGTACTTCTATTGTGAAATGTGAATTTTTAGTGAGTGTGTAATTCTGGATACCATTTTTTCCAAGATCAGCATCCTGAGCAGACTCCATCAGAATTCGGGTATTCACTGGGACATGTTCAGATATTTGTACAGTGAATGTATTTTTTGTGAAGTTAGGGGCATTATCATTAACGTCTTCTATCTGTATTTCAATACTATGAAGTTCTAATGGCTTTTCTAGTACAACCTGAGATAAAAGTAAACAAAGTTCCTTTTGGCCACACAAAGCTTCTCTGTCTATTTTATCATTTATCAACAGATTCCCAGTTTGGATATCAAGGTGGAAATATTCCTTAGTGCTGCCAGAAATTAAACAGGCTCTACGAGTAGAGAGTTCTCCTATTTTCAGTTTGAAATCCTGCAACACATTAGCCACTACAAACCCATTTTTCTTTTCTTCAGGGACAGAATAGCGAACTGAAATACACAGTGTTCCAAAAAGACTGAGGAAAAGCAAAAGATACAGACCTTGTTTGCCCCTGATGAAGTGATCTTCCATTGTGTAGGAAATTTCTTTTTCTTCAATTTTTGCCCCAAATATAAGCTTCTTAACTTTTATCCAGTGCTAATGTCTGCTGATAGGGAAAAAAGTTTTGTTGTGCAGTGTGGATGCTCGATTCCAATGAAATTTTGCTCATACCAGAGTTTTTGTTTCATTTACATCTCTGACAATCATTTCCTCAGCATTCCTCAAAGACAACATTCTGAGTGTCTATTAATATGTTAGCCTGTGCTGCCACTACGTGGCTGAATAAGGAAATAAATCACTTCTAAATATCTGATTGTATGGCACCTAACTGCTCAATAGACTTAACTTGAAAAGCTGAGATGTATTGCTTAGTTATTTGGAACAGATTATTTTATTTAAAAAAAACCCAGCAAAAGTTAGTAAAGTTTCTGAAAAATACAGTTATACTTATGATCTTTAACTGAAAAAGTACTGAATGCTTTGTGTTATAAATATCCAATCTTTTGATTTCAGCCTATGTTTTTGTGTTCTCTTTATTAAAAACAGATAAATTTTGAAATTGGGTTATTTATGAGAAATTTACAGTTAACCTTTGTGGCATTTTGTTGAAGAAGAAATTCTATCATGAAGAAGATTTTTTTTTTTAAGTACATTTAGGAGCCTATTCTTCCACTGAAAGTCTTTAGATTTTCTCCACACCTGTTTGTTTATTTTTCTTTGTTCTTAGTTGATTCCACTCACTCCTCTACTAGCAGAAATAGTTTGGAAAGTCATATTCATGGAAATGTATGACATTACTTATAACAGAATACACAAGAATAATAAAATCATTAATGCCCCTCAATTTATAAAAGGAAAAAAATGATATAAAGTATTTTTAAGGTATTTGTATGTTACAATAACAGAAGAAAAAGAGAAGCATTCTGAAGTCAGATTTATATTTTTTGAACTGTATTAAATTCAGGTCTATATTTTACAGAATAGCTCAGAAAAAATTCAAGATAAAATAAAAATATAAGATAAAGTACAATGGAAAGTTGCATATACTATTTGCAATTTCACCATAAAACAAAAAATCCAAAAGTATTCTCACCTGGCATATAGATTTTGTCTCTGCTTCATGACCAGAAAGTTCTGCAGATTTAACCCTTGGATTCACATGAGTGCCAGCAGGATCCATTGAAAAAACAGGAAACAGAGGCCTGAGAAATCTGAACTCACTATTCAGAGACCCACCAGCTAAGCATACCTCATAATTGTAGGCCTGACAATGTGTGTCAGAACTAGGGTCTCCACAGTTCTCTTGCAAATTCTGTCCCACAGGGAAATTAGATGCAGAATTAGAGCTGCCTATGAATTTCTGTCGTTTCTGAAGCTTGGTTCCAATAAACACCATAACAGAAAGGAGGAAAATGGATGAGATCGTGACCAAGCAGATAATCAAATACATTGTCAGGGTATGATCATCTTCCTCCTGGACTTCACCCTTAGGATTATCCATAATTTTCATGTAAGGATCTGAGAAGCCATCCACTAGAAGAATTCTTAGTGGGGCAGAGGCAGATTGAGGAGGATGACCATTATCTCTAACTGCCACAATAAGAGTGTGTTTGAAACTATCTCGGTTGTTCACTGGCCTCATGGTTTTCACTTCCCCGTTCTGAGTCCCCACAAC